GTGTGAACGCAGCCCTGGAGGGGGAAGGGGTCACACACTGCACTGAGCCAAGATGCTGCGGAGTCCGGGCTGCAAGGGAATGAGCATCGTGCTGGCACACGGGCTGCTTAGGTAGCGGAACCCACAAGCCGGGATCCTAGGTTCAGGTGACCGACTGAGTTTCCGATGAAATGAGCCGTCAGTGGGAGGGCAACAAAGAGAGTTCCTGCTCTTTCAGACTGAGGCAATTTTATCAGGAGTCAAAATTGTCTTCATTCATCAGAAGATCATTTCTTCAAATATAAACAATGAAATAGTCAGAAAAGACAAGAGACAATGAAAAGTGTAGCGAAAGGAACAAAAGGTGTTAGGAGATGGGGATGAAATGCAACCAGTCCTGACAGGGACAGCTCTGTTTATACAAAGATGCATAAATTACAGGGAACGTCCAATTCACAGTTCCTGGCATTGGTCCAATGGATGATGCCACGTGATTTATGACCATAGTCTTGATTCTGGCCACAGATGACGGAAATGAACCTCTGGGGGACTTTGCACCCCTCTTCCCCGCTCTCGGCCTCTCGATGCTTCAGGAGGAAACCCCCCTCCACTGTCCCTGCGCAGACACAGATCTTGTATCCGAGTCCCTTCACCCACATTTGCACCCCTTGGGGCAGGAGGGACAGGAACTGTCCTTGGCGTGGCTCTCAGGCTGCCGAGATGGAGGGCAAAGCTTCCAGAGCCTCCTGCTTGGGGCTCCTGCTCCTGAGGCCCCCCTGTCCCTGAACCACCAGTACAGCCAGCACCGTCCTTCCCCAGCAGGCTCCCCCTCGGTTTCCCTGGGGAGCCCAAGGAATGGTTTGGGTTCTGAGAAGAGGGCGGTCCTGGGAGCCCCCTCCACGCCCAACCCCCGGGCATCCAAGCCAAGCCCCATTGAGGCCAGGCGGGAGGACCCGTCATGCGAAGCCAGTCCCTGTGGCTTTTCAGCTAAAGGTGGGGAGGGCCCTGTCTGTGTGTTTCTGTGCTGCAGAGCTGCCTTCATACAAATCGGGTGTGTTTGTGTTTCCTGCCCGGGTAAAGGGAGAGAGAAGCGTTCTTCTGAGCCCCAGTGCAGGTGAAGCACCCCAGTGACAGGCAGGCTGCGAAATCCCCCCTGTGAAGCGCGAAAGGGACTCTCAGTTCGAGGCACTGAAAGCGAGGGAGCAGCACATGGAGCTGCAGAAACCACCGGTTTTGCGGGTAACTCTGATTGGTTGCAGGGGACTTTGCTTTTGTCTTGTTTTCAAGCACGTTATTGCAGGGGCCGTGAGAATTATAGGGCTCCACCTGCCCTTTCAACAAAAACAAAAGAACAGGAAGGGGAGAGAGCTCTCCAAGGACAGAGGGAATATAATAAGTGTGGCAGAAAGCTGGGAAGGCACGGAAAGGAAAAGCCTATGTGTCCCAGAGCGCCGGCAGCCGCGGCCTCCGGATTCTGGAAGTTCTCCAAAGGCTTTGAGGGCCAAAGAGGTCAATCAATATTGCTTTGTTCAAGCATCGAGTATATTCCTTATGCATTGAGAAACTAAAAGGGAAATAAAGAACTGATCTTTCCTACACAACCCATCGACAGAAGTAAGAGGAGAAAAGCGCTTCCCTGCAGCGGGAAGGATTAGCCCTAACCAGAGAGAAAAACCCAGAATAACAGCCGCACAGAAAGCAGCAGCTCATACAGCATAAATAGTACGGCGTGTCCGAAGCCACTATAAGGGTGAAAGACTTCCGGGAGGTGGTGCTGTGCAAAATCCTGGGAAATTGGAGCGCCCAGTTGGGGATCCGCGATCCTGATTTTGCTTTCCTCCCGGAGGGGGCGGGCAGGAGAGGCGTCGCTTCCGCCCCGGCGAGTTCGGGGAGGAGCAGGAAAGCGGCGAGACGAGGCTCCTGGACGATTCCCTGGCGAGCCCGGGGCGTGACTGGCCGGCGGGACCCTCGGCCGGGAGGAGGCGGCCTCGTGGGTGAGCGGGGCGGGCAGGGGGGGCTGGGGCAGAGCCGGTGCCCCGTCAGCCTCCCGGGCATCGGAAGAGGCGGGCTGCTTGGGGGACGCGATGCCTGCTCTCCGGGGCCAAAGCGCGGCGCGGCCCCATTGCGCGGCCCCCTCTCGGGAGCCTCCGCGGAGAGGAGTTCAGCCCCGGGAGAGCCTGGGGTTGTGGGCCGGGTCCCGGCAGGCGCCTTCCTTGGGCGGGAGGGGAAGGATTTCCTTTTGCCCCCCCCCACGAAAGGAAGGGGCGCAGCAACCCCTCCCGCCTCGTGCGCGCCCCCGCAGGGCTGCGCTTGCACGACCTGCCCTCTCGGGAGCTCCGTGCAGCTCCGGGGCGGAAAGGAGATCGGGGGCGGCCTCTCTGCGAGGAAGGGCGCGATCGCTTCGCCCCCCGTGGCCGGAGCTGGAGCAGAGAGGAGCTGAATTCCTCGCTAAGCACATTCCCAGGAGAAGGTCCGTTGCCCGGAGGGACGGGGAGAACTGCGCGTCGGAATCGCGGGAGACGCGGGCCTGGCGAGGCCCCCGTTGCAGCAGCCCAGGCACAGAGGGAAAGGGGTAACATTCCCGGCACTGGGACAGAAGGGGGGCACCTTCCGCCCATCGCCAGTGGGATCAGCTGCCTGGGCCATTAACTCCCAGCGACCTTTTCTTTTTGATGCACAATGCTGTTCATTGCTGAGCCTGGACTAAATGAATGCCTTGACCTGGAGCAGAGGAAAGCGAATTCTCCTGGGTGGAGCGGCTTCCCTTGCAGGGCTGGCGCAGGAGGGCCGTCCCTTCCCGTGCCTGCCTTGCTGCTGCCCTCCTCCCCACTCCAGCTGCCCCCCCCTGCGCTGTCCTCCTGCCCCTGGAGGCCTGCAAGAGGCATCTGGACAGCCGCCTGCCAGCGATGCTCCAGCTGGACTCCTGCCCTGAGCGGGGCTTCGGGCTCGGTGGCCTCCTCAGACCCTCGAAACCCCCTGTTCTTGCGCTGCAGGACAGCCCCGCCAGGGGGCGTCCTGGAAGGGCAGGCTGGACAGTTCTGCAGGGCCTTCGGTCCCGCCTCCCTGCTTGGTGCCGGTCTCCACGGGGAGTCCTCCCTCCCAGGCGGCTGCCCAGTTGCTTCTCGCATGCCTGCACGTTGCAGCGTCCACAGACTGCCAGGGGAACTGGATCTTGGCATGCTGCTCCGACAGTCCGGGACTTTTTCCTGATACCCAACCGGGACGGGGCTGCTTGTAACCTGAGCCCTTCATTCCGTGTCTCACAGCCTGAGGCCCCGTCTCAAACTTTCCCCCTAGTATTGAGTATGCTCATTGACATAGCGTGGCCTTGGAGGGTCCCTCGGGGTCTTCCGTCTTCTGTCAGCCCATCATTTCTCTCCTAGGCAGGCCGACATGCTTGCGCTTTGGCCTCGGCCTGGAGGGACTTTGCTTTCCTCCTTGCTGGCTGATGGGAACCTGGCTGAGTGATGGTTGCTGGTCTTCTGTGCATTTCCAGTGTCTCAAAGATCAGTGAGTCTCCTTGTGAGTCAACCTGACGCTTCATGCAGTTCCTTTAGGATACGCGGAACCTTTCAGCGCATTGTAGGGGCCGCCCCTTGCCCATTTGAGGCATTCCCAGCAGGGCTGCAATATTCCTGCCTGAAAATTCCCTGTCGAAGGGATGGCAGGGTTTCCGCACCCTTGACTGCCTCACTGGGAGCTGCTGGAGGAGAGCGGTCCATGGTCTGGATCTTTTCTTTGCAGCGGTCCTAGCAATTTTTGTCTCTCTGCGTGTCTGTTCCTTATGTCACATCTCTTTGCATTTGGTAAGAGTTCTTCAGGTGTGTTTTGATCTCAACTTTACTGCCAGTGCATTACCCTGAAATATTAGCTTTCATGTCTTACCGGAAATATTTCCTTGTCTGGCTACCTAGACAGTTCAGAGTTTCTCGAGAGTTCACCATATGTGAGCTCTTCGCTTGAAGGCAATTCATCAGAAGCGAGGCTTTGGCAGGGCTTCCAAAGGGCAGAAGGGGGAACGTTGGAGATGTTGGCAAGACAGATGCCAACTTTGCCTTGAGCTGGAATGAACTTATCTGTTTCGGCCATTCATTCCTACCGAGATTTTCTTTTTTCTTTCCTCCCATGCAGATGAACTGCAACACGGTTGAATTGCATGGATCCCTGCGTCATATCATCAGGAACAAGTGAGGATGAAGTGAGAAAAGAGACATTTCCAGAAGCACAGAATGCAAAAAGCACAGGGAAAACCAAGTAAAGAACAGGAGACAATAATCCAGAATTTCTCACACTGTTGGAAACCATCTTCTGCAAAGATTCCATCTTCTGGTACGTCCAGAGACTGAGTGAATGTGCAGAATGTTGAAAGAGATCCGTGCAGGAACCTCGCTCTCCATCTAGCTCTCTGAGGACACAGGTGAACATGTCTACTTTGGAACGAGTCTCAGAGAGCGAGAACTGACTTAATGAGCAACAGTGATCCAAAAATTGAGGAGGCCCTTCATAATCATGGAAAGTAGGGAGAGCGTAAGGGCTAGTGAAAGGCTTCCAGAGGATGGAGGAGCCCAGCCTGGAGAGCAGCTATATGAATACATGGAATATTGTGAGACCTTCAGTGATCCAGACGATGTTTCTAGATGCCAAAGAAAGTACACTGGGGAGATAGCAAGGAAAAGCAAGGAATGTGGAAAGAGCTGCAGTGGCAGTGGAGATCTTGAAAGGCATGCAAGAACTCACACTGGGGAGAAGCCACATGCATGCATGGAATGTGGAAAGAGGTTCAGTTGGAGTGGAGAGCTTACTCAACATCACAGGACCCACACAGGGGAGAAGCCATACACATGCATGGATTGTGGAAAGAGCTTCACTTCCGGTGGACCTCTTATAAGACATCAAAGATCCCACACTGGAGAGCAGCCATACACATGCATGGAATGTGGAAAGGCCTTCAGTCGGAGTGGAGAGCTTACTCAACATCACAGGACCCACACAGGGGAGAAGCCATACACATGCATGGAATGTGGAAAGAGCTTCACTTCCGGTGGACCTCTTATAATGCATCAAAGAACCCACACTGGAGAGAAGCCATACACATGCATAGAATGTGGAAAGGCCTTCAGTGGGAGTGGACATCTTACTCAACATCACAGGACCCACACTGGAGAGAAACCATACACATGCATGGAATGTGGAAAGAGCTTCACTTCCGGTGGACATCTTATAAGGCATCAAAGAACCCACACAGGGGAGAAGCCATACACATGCATGGAATGTGGAAAGAGCTTCACTTCCGGTGGACCTCTTATAAGGCATCAAAGAACCCATACTGGAGAGAAGCCATACACATGCATGGAATGTGGCAAGGCCTTCAGTCAGAGTGGGCATCTCATAAGGCATCAAAAAACCCACACAGTGGAGAAGCCATACACATGCATGGAATGTGGAAAGGCTTTCAGTGGGAGTGGAGAGCTTACTCAACATCACAGGACCCACACTGGAGAGAAACCATACAAGTGCATGGAATGTGGAAAGGCCTTCAGTCAGAGTACATCCCTTACTCTGCATCGAAGAACCCACACTGGAGAGAAGCCATACAAGTGCACGGAATGTGGAAGGGCCTTCAGTGGGAGTGGACATCTTACTCAACATCAGAGGACCCACACTGGCGAGAAGCCATACACATGCATGGAATGTGGAAGGGCCTTCAGTGGGAGTGGACATCTTACTCAACATCAGAGGACCCACACTGGAGAGAAGCCATACACATGCATGGAATGTGGAAAGGCCTTCAGTAAGAGTACATCCCTTACTCGGCATCAAAGAACCCACACTGGAGAGAAGCCATACAAGTGCACGGAATGTGGAAGGGCCTTCAGTGGGAGTGGAGAGCTTACTCAACATCAGAGGACCCACACTGGCGAGAAGCCATATACATGCATGGGATGTGGAAAGGCCTTCAGTCGGAGGGGATGTCTTATAAGGCATCAAAGAACCCACACTGGGGAGAAGCCATACACATGCATGGAATGTGGAAGGGCCTTCAGTGCAAATGGATCTCTTGTACTGCATCGAAGAACCCACACTGGAGAGAAGCCATACAAGTGCATGGAATGTGGAAAGACTTTCAGTGGGAGTGGAAATCTCATAAAGCATCAAAAAATCCACATTGGATGCTTCCAGTTTGGCGTCGTGGCACCACGGCTGTGAAGAGCGGAGGCTCCCTCTATCATTCCATTATTTGTTCCACAGAGAGCTGTGGGAGGCTCATCTAAGCCCCGTCGGGGCTTTTCTCAATTGAAGAACACAGGGGAGAGAGAACAGCTCCCTACAAGTCGTTGACATCTGGGACAATAGCATAGAATACTTAGCTGGAAGGTTATTGGACCTGCTGGGTGAGCATTTTTATCTTTTTTTTCTTCTTACTACCTGTGAAGAGCAGCAACAGCCTCTCATTTGGCATAAAGAAGAAAGGGGATGCCCTTTGATGGAGGGAGGAATTTTTCCTCTCCTCACGGAGTTTTAAGCGGCACCTAATCTGGGGAGAGGAACTGAGGCTCTTGGAAAGTTTGGGGCTGGAGAGAAAGACCTTTGTTT